TAGATATATCTTACATAATTTAGTTTGCTATGGCAAATTCAAGCTCATCATATAAGAAACTAAGTTTTAGACGCTTCTCTTTGCGCTTTCCCGCTTCAACGTTAAGATTTGTTCAGAAGTTACTGTATCTTAAGTGGCGAATATTTGCAAGTCATAGTTTCACTGCTAAATAGATTGCCTCCTAGAATTGTTCCTTTTTGCCTATGAAGTCATTTACGCACTGCATCATTACATGTTATTCGTAGGCGTACAGTGCTAGATACTTCTTGTATCATGTTGTTCGCTAGAGGCACTTGGCCATCATTATGAATTATGTTTCAAGAGTTACTCCTCCTTTATAAACTATAGCATAAGATTTACCTTTATGTTCATATGCTGGCAGCTATAATAGCAATAATTGACACTTAAATTCTTGACGATGGTCCTTAGTCGAACAAATCTAATACTGACAGATTTAAATATTTTAGATCTTAGTTTCTACTCACCATATCTCTTGTTTTTCAGAATTCTTCTGACGCATCAGATGACGATGAAGATCATGCGTTGATTGACGGTACGCCAATTTTAGAAGGTGAGGTGTCTTTGAATGACGAAAAGACTGCAGCCGAAATCTCCGTCGAGCTTTTGAAAGAAGAACTCGTAAGTTTAAATGCATAGCTGTATTTTACCTACCCCATAGAACAAGATATTCTAAGTTGCTTTGATAGAGAAAAGATCATAACTTAATCATTTGCCTCTTGTCCTTTTGACGTAGATACGCAAGTACCACTTTGTGACCTATGGATTCTTTATGACTACACCATAGCAGTGCACATTTACCGAAGCTCTGTTATATGTGGGTGTGACAAATGGTGTCCATCATAAAAATTCGAGGGAGACCTGTATCTTGGGAAGTACAAACCATAGTTGTCCTGTAAACAAGTCTTATTTCATGTGTCATTGGTTTTTGCCCATATTGGTTTCTCGCCTGCAGTAGACAAATAACAAGCTTCAAAATCGGTATAATCATTGGTATTTTTATGCTCAATCAACCCGGGCATATTTCTTTATGAACGGAAGACTGTTGCGTTGAGTAGCCCGTATTTTTACGATGATAATCACTTTTACGATGACAGTTCTTCACGTTATCGAATGCGATGTGTCCTGTTATGAACACGTAACTTCAATTGATACTTTTGCTCATCCATCTAACCCTTTAATCATTGGGCTAATTCAGATGTTTCTGCAGATTATGGTCTCCTCAGAGGATATGCAAAGGGTAGTGTATCGCATATGCTGGCCAGAAGCGGCACTCCCATCCTACTTCAAGTCCCCTTATCTTTACCTGACCCGTATTTCGCAACATTTTCTCTTACAGGTAAAATTGTGCGGCAGCAGCACGAACGATCGTATAAATACATACTTTCGAGTATGGTAATGTTCTCTTCATCATGAAATTGTCTTCATAATGAAACAACATTCAATGTCCTGATGTGTTATCTATCCATTCTTTCAAATAACATCTTCAGCAAGTAATAGTCATTTTGAAAAAACCCTTAAGCGAGATTAAATTCAATTCACTTTTAACCATCTGTTCGTGTTTGCCGATCATCGATTCAAAACAAGTAGTTGTTAGAGTTGTTGACTGTGGTGCTATTGCCAATATCCAGCTCAATGTCACAAAATTGCATGAACATCATTTTGAAGGACGATAATAAATAAATAGATAATCTTCTCGACAGATAATGCCTACAAGATGGAAGTGGTACGTGCATGGACATAGACTCCGGATTCAGTCGTAAATATTGCGTCTTATCCAACCTTCAGCAGTGTTTATTATCAGCTACTGTCTGTTGAATATGTGTTTGTAGTTTTCTCCCCTGATAAACGTAAAGTTTGTTCTGAGCTAATCATAGAGACTTATCATTATGTATTAGACTGATATGCTCATCGTTTAGAGGAGATTACGATGAATGTTTACTTTACATCTGTGCCTTTAAACAGACTAAATAATTTTTTGTTGCATCCCATTATATAAGCTGTGTATGTGTCTCTCTGGCAGATGGTTTCGGGCCCATACTTTGTCACAGATAAGCAAATATTTTTCTTCTCAGTGATGAATCGGTTCCTGCGCTACTTTCTGTCCACCACATCTGTCGACAGATATTCTTTTCAATGTGCATGTCTATATTAAACGAAGGAAAAATTTTATTACAAGTTTTCAATAAATGACAATCACTGTCATGTATTTTCAAAGCCGCTATCCTCTCGTAACTTTGATGTGACTTACTTCTGTGTAGCTTTCGAAGATGCGTTCCTGTCTGACGGAAATCCTGCTCAAAGTGACCGATGGTAGTATCGTTACCGTTGCTCAAGAAACTCATCGGAAAGCTCTTATGAAAGGTACTGATACAGTTTCCCCAAATAAACTTTCTTTCGGTCAGTCGCCGTGATCCACAATATCCTATAGCGTTGGTTTGAACCGTCTCACAAATGCAAATTAATGAATGGAATTATTTCAGAGTTTTAGGTATTGCGAACAGCAGTCGGTAACCAGTTATATTTTTCCTTTGTTTCGTTATTTTCTAAATTATATATACATGTTTTGTGCTTAAGCTCAACCAAAAGTGCTTGCGCAGAGCTCCGCTCTGGCGTCGATATCTGCCTTTGGTGAGTATTAATTTTTTATCATATTTTATTTATGACTCGTTCAGAAATCAGCTCTCAAGTTATTGTTATTAACGTAAGCTCACAAATGTTAAGTGTTTTACCCTGCTACAAACAACTGTTGTAGAAATTTAGTAAGGCTTCTTTTTTAGAGTACTGTTTATGCTTTTCGTGTAGTTTACGAAAGATAAGTATGTTATGCTAGGAAACACAGTAATATGAGCTTCAGAGAAACAAATTCGTTATTACGTAACGTTGTCTTGAATCAGGTGACGACGATGATACTGAAAGTGAGGCGGAACAGAGCGGAGATGCCGATCATACGGTCATAGCTGGTGAGTCATCAACCACCTCTGAAACCGAACTATTCAAGCGGCCGCTAGCTCCATCACCATCGGTTATTAAGAAACAATCTGCCGACGCAGCTGCAACATCAGGTACATCTCCATTTACTCCTCATATTTTGTTTTCTTTAGCCATTAGTTGTTTTTTACTTATCTGTTTGTAGTCGTTTATGGTTGAACGTTGTGGTGGGTATGGATTAGATGTTAGACATTTTTTCCTTACGGGTATCATGTCATTACCTTTAAGCGACGCACCCTTTGCCCTTTAAAATCACGTCCGCACTTGGGGTGCTTAAGTACTCACAAGTGGTTCACAATGCGTATTTGGACGTCTTTACACATAATTTCAAAATA